CAGCAGGAAGGTGCAGGTGGACTAGCCTGAAAATTGGCCTTTTTTCCCCTGAAAATAGTATTCACAGTTTTAGCCACACTAGGAGAAGGATGGGGAAAATGAATCCTGGGCTGTGTGTCCCTGAGCAGCGGCCCTGGGCGGTGTAGCACAGTGTCTGCAGAGCTCAGGCTGCATCTTTGTGATAGCGCCCAGCTTCTCTCGCCCAGCGGCAAAAAGGTTGAAAATGGCCTCTATTCTTCTGCAAAAAATAGATATCTGACATGTTTTCCATCACAAGCCAGGGTACGTTATCTTGCACTTGCACATCAGTGCCTGACTCAGAAACAATACGACTCTTCCAAAAAAAGCAGACCTCCTTTCTGTGTATTTTGGGATGTTAATCAGCTTCAAATGCAAGTCAATTCTGTCTTGTTCTTGGGAAACAGCAAGGACGTTGCCAGATGCTCGTGCCAATTGGAGCAGCCTGGGAAATTTTTTATTAGATTTTTTTTGTCACACAGTCAGCTAACCAAATGAAACTCTCTCCAGGAAAAAGTCTGAATTTCTTATTTCCCATAAGAAATAATTGTGCTGGGAAATGTTGAATTCCATTTGGGTATTTTCTACATGGGACCTTGTGGCTTCTTATTTTGAGGTTTGAGCTGGCTTTGGGTTACAAATATTGCCACCAAAATCATTTCAGGTTTCTGGAAAGGAGGCAGCAGGTGGACTGAAGCGGCTGCTCCTTCGCAGCAGTCGTCTTACCTAGCTCAGGATCAGATGTCTTTTCCATTGAACGTTTCCCCTGAAAGGAAAGGACAGTTTCCTGCCCTCCTGCTGATAAATTATGACTTGTGCATATTCCCCATGTCCCTCTGGTGAGGGTGCCGGGAAGTGGAGCAATGCGGAGGCCAAGGTTAAAGCTGTTGAGCTGTGATGCTCCTTCACCAGGGACAGGGTACCGAGGCTGTGCCTTTGCCCACAAAATGCCAGCGCTGAAAAGCCCTGTATGGATAACGGGGCTGCTCTCCAGGGAGTGGTACGAGCTGCCTCTCAAAGCCTGTCATTTATTTGGTGCCAGGCAGCCTGTGTTGTGGCTGAGGCGGGTTCCCGGTGCCACAGCAGCCAGTGCTGTGTGCTGGGGG